CGGTAAAAGCCTAGGGTTCCACGCAGTACTGATGGAAGAACTGGAAAAGGGGAGACTCTAAGGTCCATGACTTTCGAGTTTCTTTTAGAACTAAAAACATGTGAGTGAGACTGCCCTAACTTGTTTCTACTTCATTTCTCGTCCATGATGGCAAGATTCTCTTCCTGCTTCTTCCTTTCTAAGGTGAATCTTCAACAAAAGGTGTGAGCTGCAATGGGCAGAAACAGGAGCAGCGGGAAAAACAATAATGACGATGAATATTTATTATCAAGAAGAGGTTTAATAAAAGGAGATCTACAGCTAAAATCCTGGTGGAAGACGCGGCAACGGACAATGCGTGCAGGATCCATTGTTGCCATTTTGTCCGGGAGAACCTTGTGGACCAGGAGGACCCGGTTGTCCAGGTGGTCCCGGTAGACCTTTCTCTGAAATAGTACACGTTCCTTTAAAGGTGGGCGTTTGCATGTTTTCCTAATAGAGACTAGATTACCATATATGAAATGCTTGCATACCTCCTGGTAGTCCTGGAGGCCCTCTGGCTCCTGGTTTCCCAGCGACTCCCTTCTTTCCTTTCTGCCCAACAGCTCCAATTTTTCCTGGAAGACCTGGCGGACCAGTTGGCCCTGCTACCTGGAATATAAGCTTGCTATCGGTAAATTTTGGCATTTTTGAACCTTAGAAGTTTTCTTATTCCTGAAGGAGCTGGCAAATGAGTAGTAACGATGTATTCATACCGTAATGAGTTTCCCAGGTTCACCTTGGGGACCTTTGGGTCCTGGTCTTCCGGGACGCCCCGTTGGCCCACGAGGACCGATGATGCCGGGTTCTCCTCTCACACCAGGCTTAAGCAATAGTTTGAGAACAAAAATTAGTTGAGTGTTTCAACAGAGATACTCACGGCTCCTGCGTGTCCAGGCGCTCCTTTTGGTCCTGGCAATCCTTTAGGTCCAGCAGGTCCGGGCGGTCCTGGTTGGCCCACAGGGCATATGATACATGGTTCTGGAGGTGCATCGAGTGCAGGCAAGACCACTCCACTCCTTCCCGGTTCACCATTTCGGCCCGGTGGACCATCTATACCGTCACGACCATCCTTTCCAGGAGGACCTGGAGGACCAGGTGGCCCTTGCTGGCAGGTACAACCTGAAAAGACGGGGCAATGGTTATGTTTAGGGGATCTTCAGGGTCTGAGAATTAATCGGACATTAGCTTAAGTCCGATGACCTCTCCAATTAAGCCAGGACCGTCATTTCAAGGCAAATAACTCACAAGTAGGCGCTCTCTTGACTTCCAATGGTTTAGCGTGACCATAGTCATCTGGTTTCGAATTCAGCTCAGAAGCTTCGGGAGACTCTGAAACTTTACATAATAGATTCAGCTCAGAGATATCACGTTCGAGTCTTTTCTTCCAGGGTATCAAATAGTAAGAAACCTTCGCCGCAACAGTAGAAGTGATCCAAAGTGACATACCGTCTAGCTGTATCTGCTCAACCCAACGTCCAAAGCTCCATTCCCGTCGGAAACGTGCTCCGCTTGTTTCAGAATCTTTTTTCCCGTGGTGGATATTCATAGAGTCCTGGGCTGCGAACACTTCTACCCATAAATCGCGAGTTTTTGCCTGAATTCGCACAAAGACTGATAACAAATTTTTTCTTTTGGCCTTGGCTTAAATCAGAACTTGTAACCTAATTCAGCCATTCCTTCGCTGACGATGCCGTTGAGCTTTTCAAAGAGGTAACAATTTAGATAATTTGCTCAGCCATCCAACTTGCTAACCGATGAATAACTATGACCTTTCAGAAAGCGTGGCTTACTCCTCTTGAAACATGCGATCCCTACTATATTTATAATGTATACCGACTTACCCGACAATGATCCAATTCCCCGGACATGTGTGTTTGCATAGTTTGAACATAGTTGTAGACCAAAGGAAGGCTGACTACTGAAGACAGGACAGCTGACGTTGATATCAGGACCTAAATTCGCGTTAAGAAAGTTATTAGTGACCCCTAGTGTGCCCTTTAATTATATCGAAGTCATCTGAGGTGTCAGATTCAGAAAAGATTAAGCTTCAAATTGTCTAGGTTAAAATCTCGTGTGCATTGTAAAGAGCATATGGGATCCTATCTGCTAGCGTGGGAGCGCTGATAAAGACCAAGCAACATATAAGTGCTGGTTGGGATGAGTTCACGATGGTGATCAGTCATTTTCAGGTTTTCCAGCAACTTGTTGTTTCCAAAATTTGTTTATAACTTACCGCAATGAATGTGACTTTCCGCAACCGCTTGGACTCTTCCGATTCTTCCATGAAGAAGTCCATCATGGGAGGTTTCTGGCCTACAAGTACACTACACAGGATTCAGTGAGAATTCACGCAAACCAGAAAGCAGGAAGCCTTGAAGTATTCAGGATAATGATGCGTTTGAGTGAGCACATCTTCTTGAATTTCTAAAAGGCACCTGAACAGAGGTTACCCAATGGTCACCATTGAGTTACTGCTCATACCTCCAGGATCGTACGAAAGATTTCTGTAGTACGATCCTGGAGGTATAAGCAGTAAGTCAATGGTTACCATTGAGCTTGTCTAGACATATTTCTATGCGAACACCATTTACTGACATCATATATTACGATAGAAGGGCATCCTACAGGGACGGATGGTCGGCTTTACCCGCGACGACTAGGCAGACGGTGAGCGCAGTAGCCGCTTCAGGATTTTTTTATTCTTATGGTACTCACCACTACCCCTCGATCTGGTAGGAAAAAGCTGCTCTAGAAACAGTCAATCCCAGATCGACCTACCTTATTTCTACAGATCGTTTTAATCGCTTTATGTCCTACTCATATCAGATCTGAGGCTTGCCTCAGGATGAGCCTAGCATTTGGCTGCTATATGAAAGTACAGTGACGTTTGGATGGTTTTGTCAAGCTAGTTGGCTGGCCCTAGATGTCACCCCGTATGGAGCTGATTCCCTCTTACCAGACAGGAAGGGCAAAGGTATGCGGATTTGGAGAAATCTCAAAGAAATATTTTTGAGATATTCACTGCGCCAATGAAAAGATAAAGAAATAGAAAGCAATCGACCGGACAGAATGACGTAAGAACCCTTTGAAAGGGATGAAATCCGTTGATCGGCACCTGAATCGTTTATATATTCGGGCCGAATGCGTCGGAGATGGGTGCGCCCAGATATGCCCGACACGATGAGGTCGTAATTTCAGAATTGCTCGATTGTAAACGCAACGGTTACAGTAGTGGTGAAAACATGGCGTCAGATTGCGGATCTATGCCGAATTGGGACATCACCCATGCGAGCTCTCACTATTACCAGATAAGCATCGCATTTCAAACATCACTTTATAAGTGACTAGAGGCTGCCCTACTCCACGTGTCTACGAGAAACATCTGGTTTATATTCTCCCGAGAGAACAACCTTCCATCCATGATCTGGAGTTTTTGGGTCTAGGTCTGGGAAGCTAGTCTTGGTGGACAAAGGATCACTATTGTACGACAGGACCGGGCCAATGTTGGAATGCTTTTCTCACATGGACGGATCACCAGCACGGCTAGCAACGAACCTCAGAAACAAAAATGCCATTTGTTTCCTTCCCTTGAGAAAGGGATCCTTCTCATGGAGGAATTTCAGATTCTCTTAATCTCTTACTCCCATCATTACCAATCACCTCCCCTCTCCGATAAAAGTGCAGAATGATCAGATCGCTCGAAGTAAAATGGTAGTGCGCCACATGCCACTTCAACTTATCCCCCTAAATTACGTGAATTTCCCTTACCTAAGCCCTCAAAGGGGTTTCAGTTCTCCCCTCATTTGAACGTGATTGCTTTCCCACCCATTTTTCAATCCTCTTCCGCAGAGTTAGGAAAAAGATGAGGGTTCTCCCTTGTTCCGAGCCAAAGCAGACCGACGACATGGATGTCATCGAATAATTCTATTTCATTCTAATTGTATCTTTATTCACCTTTTAATCCAGAGAACAGTTTTATAGAGATAACCCTTTCTAGTTGGTTATTATTTTATTTTAAAACAATTAGTCGGTTCTATTTACTAACGTTACTATTCATTCAAGCAAATATAATATTAAAGCTAATTCAAAATTACCAAATGAAAAGCTGACAATGCAGCTTATACCGTCTGTATGGAAAAACTTTCGTTGAATTCCGTTGATAGGCCTTTTGAGACATCAATGGAAAACCACGAATCCAGTGACGGTTTCCCCGAACGTAAGACAACTCCCCTGGGGTATTTTTGAATTCAAATATCATAGGAAAATGATTATTTTTATTTGTAAGTGCATTCTGCATAGAAGAGCTACATCAATCCACTGTAATAGGAAAGGCTGTGGTTCGGAGTAAGAGTGTCTATCGAAATTATAAAGTTATTTATAATTCTTTCGCGCAGTAATTAAAAAAAATAATCAGAAATACTCATAGTAATGATAATGAATTGTGTTTTCCTGTACTTTGTCCATCAAAACCNAAATATCATAGGAAAATGATTATTTTTATTTGTAAGTGCATTCTGCATAGAAGAGCTACATCAATCCACTGTAATAGGAAAGGCCGCGGTTCGGAGTAAGAGTGTCTATCAAAATTATGAAGTTATTTATAACTCTTTCGCGCAGTAATTAAAAAAATAATCAGAAATACTCATAGTAATGATAATGAATTGTGTTTTCCTGTACTTTGTCCATCAAAACCCTGGGGAAGCGAGAAGAAAATGGTGAAGAAGATAGTGTCAATGAAATTTTGGCACGGAGCCATGCGTTTTAGACCAGCACAGAATCGTGGATTCTCCTCATGTTGTAACTCATCTTGAAAAGATCCCAAGTACGTCAAAAGGTTTCGAATCCCTTGTTTTAGCCATTTTAGCGATGTCTGGCAACAATACTCCGGTTCAAAAAACTAGGTTCAAAAAACTAGCCAAGTTTGTCCTTCGGTATACGGTGATATTTGTCGAAAAGTCGTTTTATTTATTTTGCTGGTTCAAGCCTTTCTACTTACAATTTTCAAGCCGTATTCCTTATAGCCGGCGGTGGTGTAGTGGCAAGTAGCGTGCTATCATAGGTCGCATGGTCCTGGGATCGGGTCCAAGACCAATATCTACCCAGGACAACGGAGCCTTCAATCATTTCAGGGTCGGCCCATTGCTACCAAACTCGTCGGAAAGTGATGGAAGCGCCAGAAATTCATTGTATAGGTATGATTCAAATGGATCTCGATGCGGGGGCGTAATCCAGGTTTCATTACGCCAAACACTTTGCCCTTACTTGATCCTTTCCCGAAAATCGCCTCTTTCTCGGTTGTTACACCATAAACGCTCATCTTAACGATGAGACCAATCTATGGCTCATCGTTACAACTCTGTTATCAATGCTTGGTAAGTAAAACTTGTGAGCGACGTAGATAAACTCAACACGGCTACATAACTAGTAAGTTCTGCAGTAAGCGCACTTACGAGTGCATAAATAAATAAATAAATATTATTGGAATTCGATATACCCTTTGCTTGTGTTAATAACTTTGTCGTGGAATTTACTCATTAATGTCTATGGTGAATCGGCTTCAAAGAGCTGCGCTACTCGGCAATGATACGCCATGTGGAAAAACTCTTGTTTTTTGAATAGTTGCTATTTTTATTACAATTATTATGTACATAATTACAAAGGATCTATCTAGATGCTTGGCATAGCCAGCCATGTCTGCTTCAGGTTCAGTACCACGCTTCTCTCAGTTGATCGAAGTAGGCTTTAGTTTCCTCAGTGGCCTAAAAATGTGGCATGACTTCAAGAAGAAATGTTCAAGCTACATGTTTCTTAAAAGACGTGGATCGATCAGTAATAAAGTCTAGAGCCTCTATGGAGTTTTTGAGACGCGCCCCGCATTCGACTAGCACTAAAAATCGTATTGGCATATTGAATGCAATGCTGCCTGAAGGCTTAGTCGGTCTAGGCGAAAAACAATGTGGGATTCGCTTTTCTGACCGTGCGAGTGAAAATTTGATAAGTTATTATGAAGCTGCTAGTCAACCATCGATATCGATAGGTCGATAGATGCCCAGACAGTTCATCGGTTTTGTGTACCGATGAAATGACTAGGCACCCGTCATTCCCCTGATCTGATTTC